TATATTTCTATCATTTTATTGTTTCCCTTCCACGTGATGACTTTACCGAAAGAACCAAGAATATGAATCCCTGCAGTCACGAAAGAAGCTTTAAAAGTTTAAATCAAAGTTGTTGATGTTGTTGTTCAGCGAAACATTAGATTTCAGTGCCGGCAGCAAGAAGCGGCCGTTAATTTGAGAATATTGGCATCGCAAGACTCAGAGAGAGGAAAGTGGAAACAGTTGACGACATATGCAGTGGACACACACACAGCAGGGCTATGTGCCCATGAATCGTGATGATGATACACTACACTATACACTACACTATACACTACACTATACACTACTATACACTACACTATACACTACAATACTATACACTACACTACTATACACTGCACTACTATACACTACACTAGTATACACTACACTATACACTACACTATACACTACACTATACACTACACTATACACTACACTACTATACACTACACTATACACTACTATACACTACACTATACACTACACTATACACTACACTATACACTACACTACTATACACTACACGATACACTACACTACTATACACTACACTACTATACACTACACTACTATACACTAAACTACTATACACTACACTATACACGACACTACTATACACTAAACTACTATACACTAACATACTATACACTACACTATTATACACTACACTATAAACTACACTATAAACTACACTATTATACACTACACTATGCACTACACTACTATACACTACACTAGTATACACTACACTATACACTAAACTACTATACACTACACTATACACTACACTACTATACACTACACTATACACTACACTACTATACACTACACTAGTATACACTACAATATACACTAAACTACAATACACTACACTACTATACACTACACTATACACTACACTATACACTACACTACTATACACTACACTATACACTACACTACTATACACTACACTATACACTACACTACTATACACTACACTATACACTACTATACACTACACTGTACACTACACTATACACTACTATACACTACACTTTACACTACACTACTATACTCTACACTATACACTGCACTATTATACACTACACTATACACTACACTATTATACACTACACTAGTATACACTACACTATACACTACACTATACACTACACTACTATACACTACACTATACAATACACCATACACTACACTATTAAACTATACACTACACTATACACTACACCATTATACACTACGATATACACTACACTATACACTACACTATTATACACTACACTATATATTACACTATTATACACTACACCATTATACACTACGCTATACAATACAATATACACTACACTATTATACTATACACGACACTATACACTACACTATTATACACTACAATATACACTACACTATACACTACACTATTATACACTACACTATACACTACACTATTATACACTACACTATTAAACACTACGCTATACAATACACCATACACTATACTATTATACTAAACACTACACTATACACTACACTATACACTACACTATACACTACACTATTATACTATACACTACACTATACACTACACTATTATACACTACACTATTCTACACTACGATATACACTACACTATACACTACACTATTATACACTACACTATACACTACACTATTATACACTACGCTATACACGAGACCATACACTAAACTACTATACACTACATTATTATACACTACACTATTATACACTACGCTATACACTACACTATACACTACACTATTATACGCTACACTATTATACACTACACTATACACTAAACTATTATACACTACACTATTATACACTACGCTATACACTACACTATACACTACACTACTATACACTAAACTACTATACATTACACTATACACGACACTACTATACACTAAACTACTATATACTACACTATTATACACTACACTATAAACTACACTATTATACAATACACTATTATACACTACACTATTATACAATACACTATTATACACTATGCTATACACGACACTATACACTACACTATATACTGCTGTACTATACACTACACTATACACTACACTATACACTGTGCTACTATACACTACACTATACATCTAAACTACTATACACTACACACTACACTAGCATATGCTACATTATTATACGCTACACTATACACTATGCTATACACTACAATATACACTACACTACTCCACACTACACTAATCACTACACTACTATAGACTACACTATACACTACACTACCATACACTACACTATACACTACACTATACACTACTCTACACTACACTATACACTACACTATACACTACTCCACACTACACTATACACTACACTACTATACACTACACTATACACTACACTATACACTACACTATACACTAGTATACACTACACTACTATACACTATCTTCTTGGTTCTTTCGGTAAAGTCACGTAGAAGGGAAGTAATACAACAATAAAAATAAAACATAATAAAATAAAATAATTCTCACGACGTTTCGGCTACAACGCAAGCAGCCGTCTTCAGGTGAAGAATGAGACAATGCCAAGCTAGGAGCTTATATATAAGCTGCGTTGGAGGTGGAAGAAAGAGCGCCTTAACACTACTATACACTACACTATACACTAGACTATACACTACACGATACACTACACTATACACTACACTATACACTACATTATACACTACACTATACACTACACCACTATACACCACACTACTGTGATGTGCCACTACTTGAGCATGTTGCCATTACAAGAAACAGAGAAAAGTGGAAAGAAATGACAAAATGTGCAGTGGACACACCAACAACAGGGCTATCTGCCCATGCATCGTGATGATGATGATTGAAAAAAAAACCTGCTCTCAAATAAGCGATACAAATTGATAGCGAGCACATTTTCAATTAGAAGATTTCCAGAGGCTCTTATGCCGAAGCCAGGCTCAGGGTTTCCGATCCCCGAGAGAACGAGATATTTGCAGGTGAGTCACCATCCGTAACACAAAACACAAAAAAATGTAGGACGAATCTCAAAAGGGGCCCTCGCCCGGTTAAATAAAGGACAACCGTTGATTTTGTATTTCTTTATTATTGATCTCGTCTCGGTAATCAGTTTGTGAAAAAGGGTCAGAGCGGTAAATGAAGAAGCGTAAATCGTAGGCGGAACTCGTAACATCGATGGAATCAACCGAATCAAAACAAAAACTTGCCGGTAGCCGTATAACCCAAGTCGTCGATGCTAACCGGGGTCGCAGGCAAGGCCTCCCCGCCCACCCCCCAAACCTCCTCTGCTCCAAACCACAGTCAGACTCGAGCTGTTCATTAAACCCTTTCCCGTTCCGAGGCAACATCTGAGAGTTGCAGGGTGGGGGGATCCCGTTTCACCTTCGAATCTCGGAACGCGCGAGCGGTACGTCGTTGTTGTTGTTTATTAAAAGATGCCGGTTTCTTAGTTTGTTCAAGACGTCAAACTCGCCGCAGGTGAAACATCGGCGATGCAACCGTACTCTGCGGTAGCCCGTGCCAAAAGCTGTGACACACACACACCGTCCCACGTGGCCTCGTGGGAGCCTCAGTACATCTTCAGATCGGAAGACGCTCCGAGTTTTTTTGTATTTTAACGCTTTCTACCGATTCAGTTCCGAAGACGTACACGTACGTCATCGAAAACGAATTTGGTGGAAGAACTCACGAGGTGCACTTACGTGCATGTCATCTGCTGCACGCGCACGTACGTCATCGGAATGGGAAAGGTTTAACCCTTGGCAAAAATAGAAATAAAACACGGGGGCCACTCACCAACACCCATAGCCAAACTTTCACACTACCTCCCCTGCCAAATGCCCCCTTCCCCCGACCACAATTCTAGAACGCATTCTCCATCGCCTCCCCACAAACAAACCCAATCACCTATGGACTCATCCGACAACACGCAGCATATTCCTTAGACAACAATCTACCTCCCCCCTAACCATCCCACACACAAACCCACACGTCCATCCCCTCCATCAATCTCACAACAACCACACGCATCATATAACCTTAGTCAACATTTCCCCCATTCCACTCCCCTCCCACTAAGCCACGCACAAGTCCACCTATCCACCCCCTGGTGTCCCCCAATATCACAACAACAACAACATTCAGCACATTCCTTAGTCAACATTCCCCCGATTCTACTCACCTCTCACCAGTCCGGACACAAACCCACCCATCCCGCGTTCCTCACACACCTCTCCCACCCAATTCTCAACCACAACAGCAACATGGAGCATGTTCCTTAGTCCACATCCTTCCCACCCGCCCCCCATTCTACCCCACCTTTCACCAACGCGGCAGTAATTGCCGGGCCATTTCATCCCGAAAACCTCCTGTAACCGCTGCTTTAAGGCAAATCTTCTTTGCATTCTGAGAAAAAAAAAACACACAAGATGGCTGCCTGTAACGAGGAGATAAATAGCGCGTGACAGTTGTTGTTGTTGTTGTTGTTGCTGCTGCTGCTCATGTTGTGCTGGTGGTGTTGGCGGTGATGTTGGTTGCTGTGTGGCTTCGAATGCCAAATTCTTTTCGTGCTCGAGACTGTTTTGCTGGGGAAAGTTGGCTATGGCTGCTGGCGGCCGGACGAAAACAAACAATAAAACATTTTCGCGGCAACAATCCTCGACTGCAACCATTCTGGGTGGGCAAACAATTCAAGGGGGGAAACGGTCAGGGCAGAGGCAGGTATGGTTTGGTAAGGGGTGGATTAGGGTCAGGTCAGGGGTTAAGGTTCAGGTCAGGGCTGGGTGTAGAGGGAAATGGAGGTGCATCTAAGTGATGTTGAGGGTGTGCCATTCCCCCCTTTGTCCACGTTTCATTACCATCCCCTCCCCCCCTCCCCCACCCCCCCCCCACAAAACAAAAAGAAAAGGTCACTTAGACCGAAGTGACCCCCACGGAAAGTCTAGCGGCGTAATCCGTATCAAATCCAGCGACGAGGTACGGATCTTTCTCTCCGTGAATCTCTCAGTCTCTCTCTCTCTGGCGAAGTACGGATCTCTCCATCTCTTCCCGTATCGCTCTCCCCTCACCGTCTCTCTCTCTCTCTGCGCCGCCGTATATCTGATCGCGACCCCCCCCCCCCCTCCCCCGACGCATCTGCCGGGGGTCAGCTCCTCGCGCGGTAAGAAACAAAAATCCCCCCCCATTGAACGTCCACATCCGGATCAAATCTGTGTCTCCTGCACGTTCTCCTTGGAGCTCGATCGCAGCAGCAGCGGTTCGTGCACAGACGTGTGGTGGTACGAGTTGAGCGCCGGGTGTCCCAGCGTACCAGCGTGCTGCTGCTGCTGGTGGTGGTGGTGGTTGTATCCGTACGGCAGCGGCGGCGGCGGCAGCGGCAACGTCTTTCCGTAACCGTAGTGGGCGGCCAGCGACGACCCCGGCCCTCCGGCCATCCCGGCCGCTAGCGCCACGTTGGCGCCGCACAGGCCCAGGCTGCCGTCGTGCGGCCGCTTGCCGCTGGGCGGCGAGGGCAACCCGAGCGCGTGGTGGTGCTGCTGCTGCTGCTGCTGGTGGTGGCGGCCGGGGCCCACGCCCAGGGGCCCGCCCGCACCGCCGCCGACTACGTCCTCGTCCACGCTGATGATCTCGATGGCGCGCGACTGCATCATGCGGTGGCCCTGCCGGTGGTGCTGCTTGCGCAGTTTGTAGAAGACCACCAGCATGGCGGCGGCCATCAGCGTGATGGCCACGAAGCAGCCGATGATGATCTTCGTCGTCTTCATCACCTCGTCGAGGCCCGCCGGGGCCGCCGGGGCTCCGGCCGCGCCACCGGGCGGCTGTCGCCGGGGCGGGGGGGGGCCCTGCGAGCCCGGCGGGGGGGTCAGCGGCGGGGGCCGCGGCTCGCCGGGGCCTCCCGGGGCGGCCGCCCCCTCGTCCCGCCCGGTGACGGGCTGGGCGGCCTCCACCGTCTCCACGGTGACGGTGGTGAAGTAGGTGTAGTTGGGGCCGGCGCCGGGTGGCGGCGGCGGGAACGCCCCCGTTCCCGCCGCCCCCGGGGACACGGCGAGGGTGGCCGAGGCCGAGGCGTTCCCGGCTGCGTTGGCCACCAGGCACGTGTAGAGGCCGGCGTCGCGCGCCGCCACGCTCGTGAAGTTCAGCGAGCCGTCGGCCGTCAGCGAGAGCCGCCGGGAGGCCGCCAGTGCGGGGGCCACGGCCGCGCCATCCGGCCCGAGCCACGTGACCGAGCTGGTGGGCGACGGCGCCCGGCGGCAGCGCATCTCTGCGGCCGCCCCCTCGCTCACGTTGAGGTCGTGGGGCCCCTCCACGATGACCGGCGCCCGGCACCGCGGCGCGGCTGCCGGAGCCGTCCCGGCCCCGGAGGCGGCGGGAGGGTCGAGGCCGCTGACGTAGCGGCCCTTGAGCTCGGGCGGCGACGAGCAGCGGGCGCAGCACGTGACGTTGCCGGACTCGTTATCGCGGAGCCAGCGCGCCAGCCACGCCGCGTCGCAGTCGCAGGCCCACGGGTTGTGGTGCAGGTGCACCCGGCGCAGGCCGCCCAGGGGCCCGAACAGGTCATGGGGCAGCGCCGCCAGCCGGTTGTGGGCCAGGTTGAGCTCCTGCAGGGAGCGCAGGCCGTCGAGCGCGCCGCGCCGCACCAGCCGCACGCCGGCGTGCATCATCCACAGCTTGCGGAGGCCGCCGAGGCCGCGGAAGGAGTCGGGCCGCAGCGACTCGACGCGGTTGCCCGACAGGTCGAGCTCCTCGAGGCGAGCGAGCGGCTCCAGGTTGGGCACCTCGCGCAGCATGCACATGCCCAGGTTGAGGTACTGCAGGTTGCCGAGGCCCTCGAAGGCGCCCTCCGAGATGAACTGCAGGTGCTTGAGCTCGCCCAGGTCGAGGCGCTGCAGCGACTCCAGCGGGCGGAAGGCGAAGGCCGGGATGCTCTCGATGGGGTTGCTGCGCAGCCACAGCTCCCGGAGGCCCGCGACCGCCTCGAACGCGGCGCTGGGCACGGCGGCGAGGCGGTTGTCGAAGAGCTCCAGCGTGGTGAGGCTCACCAGGCCGTGGAAGGCGCCCGCCTCCACCTGGCGGATCGAGTTGCGGCTCAGCTGCAGCACGCGCAGCTGGCGCAGCTGCCGGAAGCTGTCGGCCTTCACCACGTGCAGGCTGTTCTCCTGCAGGTTCAGGAAGTGGGCGCCCGAGGGCACGCCCGACGGCGCCTCCCGCAGCTGCTTGCGCGTGCAGATCACGCGGCTCAGCTCCTGCGTGCAGGTGCACAGCGAGGGGCAAGCGCGGGCGGCAGCCGACGACGCCGTCGACGGCGGAGACGACGCGCCGGCCCGGCCGCCGTGGCCGCCGCCCCCGCCACCGGGCGCCAGCAAGGCCGTCGCGGCCAACGCGCAAAGCCACCAGCGGCCCCCGCCGAGGCCGGCGCCTGCACCGCCGCTTCCGCCGCTTCCGCCACCTCCGCCGATACCGCGGTCGGCCGTGGTCGCCGCCGAGGCTCCAGGGCCGCGTCCGCGTCTCCAGCGGCGGCGGCAGCAGCAGCAGCAGCTCCACCACCAGCAGCAGCGGCAGCACCACCACCACCTCCACCACCAGCAATGGCGGCCGAGATGCCTCCAATCGAATTTTCTCTCCTGCTCCTCCTGCTCCTCTGTCTCGTCTCCCTCCTCCTCCTTCGTCCTCTTCCTCCTCCTCCTCGTGGCGCTCTCCCCCGCCGCCTGCTGACGATGCTGACGATGCTCCCGATGCTGTTGCCGGTGAGGAGCGGGAGGAGGTGTCGCGAGCGGTGGTGGTGGAAGAGGCGGAGTTCCTCGTCCACGAGACGCGGAGGTTGTCGCAACGCACGGGGATGAGACGGAGACCCGCGGGCGATCGGAAACCACCGAGCGTCGCGCTGCTGATTCTGCTTCTCCCGCTGCTGCTGCTGCTACTGCTGCTGATGTTGCTGCTTCTGCTGCTGCTTCTCCCGCTGCTGTTGCTGCTTCTGCTGCTGATGTTGCTGCTTCTGCTGCTGCTTCTGCTGCTGCTGCTTCTTCTCCCGCTGATGATGCTGCTGCTTTTCCTCCTGCTGCTGCTGCTGCTTCTGCTGCTGCTTCTCCAGCTGCTGCTACTTCTGCTGCGGCTGTTGCTGCTTCTGCTTCTGATGCTGTTGCTGCTTCTGCTGCTCCTGCTGCTGCTTTTCCTGCTGCTGTTGCTTCTCCCGCTGCTGCTTCTCCCGCTGCTGCTTCTCCCGCTGCTGCTGCTTCTGCTGCTGTTGCTTCCGGCGGCTGTGCGCGCATGTTTAGGTTTGCGAGCAACGGGTCCGGCCAGGGTGGACAGGAATGCCGCTACAATGTTCATAGTGGGCTGGGAGACCCGGGCAGGTGAAGACGGTGGAGGTGGTGGAGGTGGTGGAGGAGGAGGTGGTGGTGGAGGAGGAGGTGGTGGTGGTGGAGGTTGCGGGAGAGGGAGGAGGACGGAGGACGTGGAGGAGGTGGAGAGGTCCTTGGGACGTTGAGGATGGAGTCCATAAGAGGCCTGCACCAGGCCTCACGTGGCGCACTACAGCACTGTCGAGAGATATGAGAGGGGGTCACGCGGTGAGCAGAGAGAGACTTTTGACTTTGAAACAACTTGTATTGCCGCCAGCAGCAACAGCGGTGGGGGCGATTCCGATACGAAACACACAAAGTCACCAGCGAACAAATGAAAACAAACGCTGTACATCCGCAGGCTCCGTGGCGCTCGATGCGCCGCGCACAACACGAAATAAAAGCCACGTGGTGGTGGTGGTAGTGGTGGTGGTCATCGCGACGAGCGAGCACTTCAGAAGCTGACCACGTGGGTGCCGAGAGAGGGGATGGATGAGACACGGGCAGGAGGGGGGTCACAGAACGACATGGAAAGGGGGAGACATGGGGGGGGGGAGGACAGGGGGAGGGAGGAGGGGGATGAGGAGATGGGAGGGAGACACGGGATTGAGAGAGACAGGGGGCGGGAGATTTACAGAGAGACAGGGAGAGTGAGATGCATGGAGAAAGATGAGGCTATGGGGAGGGGATGGATGGACGGGGATGATGGAGAAAGGGGCAGGAGGATTACAGAGAGAGAGAGAGGGGGAAAGGGAGTTGGGGAGGCTGAGGAATTGTAGGCAGGAGGCCGGCAGCTTTGGAGAGAGAGAGATGAGTGGTGAGAGATGAGAGAAAGAGGGGAGATTATGGAGAGGTAATTTGGGAGGGAGGGGAGCAGGCGGGGAAGAGAGAGAAATTCGAGAGATCAGAGAATGAGGGGCGAGGAAAGGGAGGGGCGGGTGAGGGGGTGGGAGACTCTGGAGGGGAGGGAGTGGGGAGGGGAGAGGGAGGAGAGGGGCGGGGTGAGAGGTGAGGGGGGGAGAGGGGAGGGGGGATAGGGGAGAGGGGTGATGGTGGTAGTGGTGACGATGGTGATGATGGTGGTGATGATGGTGGTAGTGATTATGATGGTAATGATGGTGGTGATGATGATGGTAGTGGTGACGATGGTGATGATGGTGGTGATGATGGTGGTAGTGATGATGATGGTGATGATGGTGGTAGTGGTGACGATGGTGACGATGGTGACGATGGTGACGATGGTGGTATTGGTGATGATGGTGATGATGGTGGTAGTGGTGACGATGGTGATGATGGTGGTAGTGGTGACGATGGTGATGATGGTGGTAGTGGTGATGATGGTGATGATGGTGGTGGTGATGATGGTGGTAGTGGTGATGATGGTGATGATGGTGGTAGTGGTGATGATGGTGATGATGGTGGTAGTGGTGACGATGGTGATGATGGTGGTAGTGGTGATGATGGTGATGATGGTGGTGGTGATGATGGTGGTAGTGGTGATGATGGTGATGATGGTGGTAGTGGTTTCGATAGTGATGATGGTGATGGTGGTGATGATGGTGGTGATGATGGTGATGATGGTGGTAGTGGTGATGATGGTGATGATGGTGGTGGTGGTGATGATGATGGTGGTGGTGGTGGTGATGATGGTGGTAGTGGTGACGATGGTGATGATGGTGATGATGGTGGTAGTGGTGATGATGGTGATGATGGTGGTAGTGGTGATGATGGTGATGATGGTGGTGGTGGAGATGATGATGATGGTGGTGGTGACGATGGTGATGATGGTGATAATGGTGATGATGGTGGTAGTGGTGATGATGGTGGTAGTGGTAATGATGGTGATGATGGTGGTGGTGATGATGGTGGTAGTGGTGATGATGGTGATGATGGTGGTAGTGGTTCCGATGGTGATGATGGTGAAGATGGTGATGATGATGGTGATGATGGTGGTAGTGGTGATGATAGTGATGATGGTGGTAGTGGTGATGATGGTGATGATGGTGGTGGTGATGATGGTGGTAGTGGTGATGATGGTGATGATGGTGGTAGTGGTTCGATGGTGATGATGGTGATGGTGGTGATGATGGTGATGATGGTGGTAGTGGTGATGATGGTGATGATGGTGGTGGTGGTGATGATGATGGTGGTGGTGGGTGGTCATGATGGTGGTAGTGGTGACGAATGGTGATGATGGTGATGATGGTGGTAGTGGTGATGATGGTGATGATGGTGGTAGTGGTGATGATGGTGATGATGGTGGTAGTGGTGATGATGGTGATGATGGTGGTGGTGGAGATGATGATGATGGTGGTGGTGAAGATGGTGATGATGGTGATATGGTGGTAGTGGTGATGATGGTGATGATGGTGGTAGTGGTGACGATGGTGATGATGGTGATAGTGGTGATGATGGTGATGATGGTGGTAGTGGTTGATGTGGATGATGGTGGTGGTGGAGATGATGATGATGGTGGTGGTGGTGATGATGGTGGTAGTGGTGACGATGGTGATGATGGTGATGATGGTGATAGTGGTTATGATGGTGATGATGATGGTAGTGGTGATGATGGTGATGATGGTGGTAGTGGTGATGATGGTGATGATGGTGGTAGTTGATGATGGTGGTGATGGTGATGATGGTGATGATGGTGGTAGTGGTCATAATGGTGATGGTGATGATGGTGGTAGTGGTGATATGGTGATGATGGTGGTAGTGGTGATGATGGTGATGATGGTGATGATGATGGTAGTGCTGATGATGGTGGTAGTGGTGATGATGGTGATGATGGTGGTGTGATGATGGTGGTGGTGATGATGGTGATGATGGTGGTAGTGGTTTCGATATGATGGTGATGGGGTGATGTGGTGGTGATGATGTGATGAGGTGGTAGTGGTGACGATGGTGATGATGGTGATGATGGTGGTAGTGGTGATGATGGTGATGGTGGTAGTGGTGATGATGGTGATGATGGTGGTGGTGGAGAGATGATGATGGTGGTGGTGACGATGGTGATGATGGTGATAATGGTGATGATGGTGGTAGTGGTGATGATGGTGATGATGGTGGTAGTGGTAATGATGGTGATG